TTGAGAAGAAACCACACTGTCCATTAGAGAAGCAATTGTACTAGTTTCGTACTGAGGTAACGAGGGCCTTGACTAGCAGTGAGAATTAAGAGGTGGGAAAATACCCAAGATATTTCAGAGGCAGAATGGACAGGATTTGGAGATGGATAGGATCGGGGAACTGAGGGAGAAAGTAGAAAAACACAAATCCCAGGTTTTTTTTTTTTTATGTTTAATTACTAATTTTTGAGAGACAGCACAAGCCAGGGAGGGGCAGAGAGAGAGAGAGAGAGAGACAGAATCCCAAGCAGGCTCCAGACTCTGAGCTGTCAGCATGCAGCCCGACGTGGGGCTTGAACCCACAAACTGTGAGATCATGACCTGGGCCGAAGTCGGACGTTCAACTGACTGAGCCACCCAGGCGCCCATATAAATCCCACGTTTTTACCTTAAGTGATGGGGTGGACTGTGTTTCCATTCATCGAGATGGGGAATATAGGAAGCTGACCCAGTTTGGGTGGACACGGATGATTTTGAAATGCCTGTGAAACACTCTGGAGGAGATATCTAGAGGGCAGGTAGATATTCTGGACTCAGGTGTCAAGAAAGAGGCCTAAGGGGCACCTGGGTGGCTCAGTCGGTTAGGCGTCCAACTTTGGCTCAGGTCATGATCTCACGGTTTGTGAGTTCGAGCCCCGCATCGGGCTCTGTGCTGACAGCTCAGAGCCTGGAACCTGCCTTGGATTCTGTGTCTCCATCTCTCTCTGCCCCTCCCCACTTGTGCTCTGTCTCTCTCTGTCTATCAAAAATAAATTTTAAACAATGAAAAAAAAAAGAGGCATGAGGTGAAGGTGTAGACGGAGATGGAGATACAGACTGGAGACTTGACAGGGAATAAGAAGTAGTAAAAACTGGCTATGTACAACAAGATTGCCTAGGTGAGCCCCATGGTAGATGCTCAAAATTTGTTGAATGAAAGTGAAAGAGAAAAAACTCAGAAGTCTCCAACAGCTGAATTGTGTGTGAAAGCACATGCATAGGCTACAGGAGTCTGGAGGGACTCAGGCCTGATCGATTTATGTCCCTGGGAAAGGAGAGGTAAGATTCCAACCATGGTAACATGATTTACGGTGTAGGCCATGTAGAATCAAGGTGGTGGTTGGAGTAGACAAGGTAGAGCAACTGTGAAATTAGTGTATTGAAAGATCATTTGCAAGACATATGAGAATGTTCATACAACCCAGTTGCACATCATTAGATGAGTGGATAAACTGTGGTACATCTGTATTATGGAATACCACTTGGCAATAAAAAGGAACAGGCTACTGGGGCACCGGGGTGACTCAGTCAGCTAAGCATCAGACTCTCTCTGTCTCTCTCTTTTTAACGTTTATTTATTTTCGAGAGACAGAGAGTGAGCGGGTGAGGGGCAGAGAGAGAGGGAGACACATAAGCCGAAGCAGGCTCCAGGCTCTGAGCTGTCAGCACAGAGCCTGATGTGGGACTCTAACCAAAGGACCACGAAATCATGACCTGAGCTGAAGTCAGATGCTTAACTGACAGAGCCACCCACATGCCCCAACATCAGACTCTTCATTTCAGCTCAGGTTTTGATCTCACGGTTTATGAGTTTGAGCCCCACATGGGACTATTCACTGACAGCGCGGAGCCTGCTTGGGATTCTCTGTCTCCTTTTCTCTCTGCCCCTCTCCTGCTCTCTTTCAAAAATGCATAAATAAGCATTAAAAAAAAAAAAAAAAAACAACCAAGCTACTGATACATGCAACAATAAATGAATCTCACAGACATTATACAGAATGAAAGAAGCCATATGCAGGAGTGTGTACTATATGATTACACTTACATGAAGTTCAAGAATAGAGGCATAATATAGGGATATAAATCTACAAGGGTATAAATCAGTGGTTGGTTCTGGGAGGGGAGAGGGATTGACCGAAAAGAGACATGGGGGAATTTTCTGGGGTGATGGAAATGATCTGTATCTCATTTGCAATGTTGTTTACATGGATGTGTAGATTTGCCAGAGGATATCAAACTGTACATCTAAGATCTGTGCATTTTACTGCAAAGAATTACACCTCAATGTTTAGAAATACCATTTACATGGACATTGAGTCTCCCAGAGAGATAGTAGAGGCTGGAACAGAGAGGAAGCTAGAGAGTTAGGTGCCTGCTCTTGGTGAATGTGAAGGAGATTAGACAATGAGGGCAAGGAGACTGAAGGTGGTGAGGTCCGATGCAGGAACCTCAAGAGTAGCTGTGGTTAGAGGTTGAAAGTAGAACCTGGGGGCCACGAATTAGTTGAAAACCTTTAAAAAGACTTGGCCAGAGGAGAAGTCCACCACATCTCACCACTACCAACACAGGAAGGAACCCCAGGTGAGGTGGGGTGGCTGTGCTAGGATTCCAGAGTTCCTTCTGTGTCTTCACCTTTTTTCCTGCTCTGAGCTCTGAGTTATTTGTTAATTGGTCCTGGCCACCCTCAAGGCAGCCTAGAGTGAGGTGTTAAAGAAGCTGGATCATGGGGCGCCTGGGTGGCGCAGTCGGTTAAGCGTCCGACTTCAGCCAGGTCACGATCTCGCGGTCTGGGAGTTCGAGCCCCGCGTCGGGCTCTGGGCTGATGGCTCAGAGCCTGGAGCCTGTTTCCGATTCTGTGTCTCCCTCTCTCTCTGCCCCTCCCCCGTTCATGCTCTGTCTCTCTCTGTCCCAAAAATAAATAAACGTTGAAAAAAAAAATTAAAAAAAAAAAAAAAAAAAAAAAAAAAAAGAAGCTGGATCAGAGGGGTGCCTGGCTGGCTCAGTCAGTAAAGCATGGACTCTTGATCTTGGGGTTGTGAATTCAAGCCCCGTGTTGGGTATAGAGACTACTTAAAAATAAAATCTTTAAAAAAAAATTTGGTTTCAAATAAATAAATAAATAAATAAATAAATAAATAAATAAGTAAGTAAGTTAGATCACAGATGTACATACATCCACTTCACAACTTCTTTATTCATTGGCTTTCCTCTTGAGTCCCTGGTAAAAGTATCTTTGAAAAATTCCATCCTTGTGCTGATTAGTGCATCAGTTCCTGTCCTGCAGGTTAAACTTCCTTAGAGAGTCTCAGAGTTATTGAAAAGGGTCCTTGAATCTACACTTCTACCAGGATTTATTGTAGATGGACTTAAAAAAAAAAATCCAAGTACAATCTTTGGAATCCACAACATTTTTGGATATTGGAAAGCTTAGGTACAGAAAAGAGGTAGAGAGAGCAAGATACCCTTGAGTTCAGGCAGAGCTTAACCATGGTCATCCTAGCCCCAGACTGGGGAGGGGCTAGGGACTAACATACACTGAGCATCCAGGACAGTGAAGTCTGGAAATTGACAGATGCTATTCACATTCACAGATGTGTAAGCAGGGGAACCAGGGCTCCAACTTAGGCTGACTTGACTTCAAAGCCGCATTGTCCTGAGACATGGAGCAGTGCCATGTGATTGAGCGTGTACTGTAGAAGTATGGAGTTTTATCTTCAGGCCAGTGGCGCTTCCCAGCCCTACAGCCCCAGTCCACTGGTGGTGATTTCTGCTCCCTCCTCAAGTTGCTTATCATCGTTGAGTAGAAGAAACCATTTCTTCCACATTGACTCTTTGGGGTGGAGATGGTCTGTTGATAGGATGAGGCAAGGTAAGGGACTGGACGGAAGCTGGAATTCAGGCCCTTTTGAGAAAAACCACTTCTGGGTGTCTCAGGACTCCCCAGGCTCCATGACCACCAGGGGGCAGCCCTTGCCTAGCCATGACACCTCAATTCCACGCCCTCAGGTTAGGGGCCCTGAAGAGGAAGTCAGTCTCCTGATGGAGAAAGATCGAGTCAGTCCTTCCCAGATTATGTGGCCTATGTTCTTGTGCAGGTGGTTCAGAGAGGTTAAATAATTTGCTCAAGATCATATAACTAGTTTGTTGGGGATTTTGCATTTGAACCCAGCCTGACTCTAAGCCAGCATTCTTAACCATGCGATTACTGTTTCCCCAAGACAAAACTCCAGATCACTGCAGGGAAGACTGGGAATTGCAATCCACGAATGTATTGTGAAACAGAGCTAGAAACAGGGACACAAAGGGAAGAAGATGTATTAATATAAAAGGAGCCAGAACTGTGGGGTGAGGGTTGTTAACCCTAACCTTAACCCTAACCCTTTGTGCCCATGTCTCATGAGGAGCATTGTATACGTAACCCTCCTTTTCTAGGTGCTGTGCTATCTCATTCGGTGTGTAATGCATTTACAAGAATCTGTGGTATATTCTTGTACCATTCCCTATATAACCCTGGAGTTATGAACTCAATGTCTTTCCTTCGTGTCTGTAAGAGTATTTTTCATGTAATGAGCACTTGGTAGTTTCTCAAGAAATGCTAGCTAAGTAGTGAATAAAATAATAAATGAGTCGGTTTACTGGTGGATGATAAGTGCTTGCAGAACACAATAGGGTAAAGCAGCCCTCAGCGAGAGGTATACTCCTTTAATGGAGACCTGAATACGAAAGAGTACAAATCTCTCCATCCCTTGCACTTGGCCAAACCACCCAAGTCCACACAATCTAAGTAAAACAGGTTGATTGCTATGCAAATGAACCTTCCAAACAAAGACCCTAGCAACCACCTGCTGCCACCACCAATCAGCTTGCTTCTCCTAATCCCCTCCATTATAGAATTTCTAGAGCAGCCTTGGGGGAGGGCCAGCCTAAAGGGAACAGATGGGATGGGCCTGGGCACTGCTGAGCCAAGATGAGGGGAAGTAGGTTAGCTCTGAGCCCAGGAGGGTTTCTGGAGCCTTATTCTGAGTAAAGCGTTGGTCTTCTTGAACCTCAGAAGATAGGGGAACCACATCCTGGTCTCACCCACCCACCCTCGTGTTAGCAGCCATCTAAGCCCCACCCTAGCCCTCAAACACTTGGGTCACTTGACCATGTTTTGCCCCTACCTCCTAGTGACCCAGATATTGCCATTAGCAGCATCCTCTCTCCTCAGGGAGGCAAGAATTTGATGCCTGAGGTCCTAGGCAGTTGAGGTCTTTGACAAGTGATGTGAGAGTCCTGTGTGTCATAAGAAGCTCCCCACCTCCATCTGGCAACCCTGGCCACGAGTAGTAGGTTGTTCTTTCTCCACCCAGAGCTTACCGCTCAGGTCCCCCTCGCCAATTGAAACAAACACCCTCTGACATGCCCCGGATGCTGTTGCTCCTCGTTATCATGGTCCATCCAGGTGAGAGGGCTTTCTCCCAGAACCCTGAGGGGGTGTGCGGCTGGGAGGAGGGTGGATGGGGGGAGGCTGACCTGGAGGCCTGAGGGGAGTGGCCAGGAAAGGAAACTGGGAGCAGGTGGGGCCCTCCGTAAAGCTGATGCAACGCGGACACCCCCCAGTTCACAATTCCCTCCATGTCTCCGTGTTGTCCTCTGGGAGCGTCACTCTCCAGCTTCCATCCCAGAGGCCCTTTCTTCTCAGCTGCCACCCTAGTAAGATAAAGTTGAAAGAACCAGTATAAAGGGCTTAAAGAAGGAAGAGGTGAATTTTTTTTTCTGAAGGGGTCAATTTTAATTTGATGAGCTTAATAAGCCTATTAAACAAGTCTTATTATCTAGGGTCTAGATGTAATTAGGAGTTTGGGAGACCTAATTAACTCTAAGGGAAGTTTCTTAATGAAACTGATTTTAATTAACTGAGAGACTTTAACTATGAGCCATATCCATTAACTACATGCAGTGTGGACTCCAGACCCAAAGTTTTAGCATCAGCTGGGAACCTGGGGCAAATTCTCAGGCCCTACTCTTAAACCACTGAGCAAATGTCTCTGGGGGTAGGGCCCAGGAATCTATTTGAACAAACACTCTGGGTGATTCCCATGTGCTCTCAAATTTGAGAACTTCTGAAATAGAAGAATGGCAGGTGAATTTCATCAACTAGAGAATCCAATTGGAGATTTTACTAATTGGTTTAATTCATCAATTTGGATGAGTTAGATAGGGATTTTCATCAATTAGAGCCACGTCGTCACCAGAAGACTTAATTAGTTGATGCTCTTTAACAAAAAACAAAGTAGCAAGGGTGATATACTATATATAGTATGTCACTGGTGTGAAAATAATACCTGGAATAATATAGTTAATTATTAGTTAACTAGGGAGCCACGTTCATTAATGAACTTCAATTTTAATGTGACAGGTTAAATTTCAGCAAGAACCTACTAGTGAATGTAGCAGGGGAGTGATGGGAGGGGGCAAGGATGACAGTTGGTATAAGAAAGAATTTGAAAAACTAATTTTTATTATTTATTTATTTTAAATATTTTGTTAAAGGTTTATTTATTTTGAGAGAGAGAGAGAGAGAGAGCATGAGCAGGGGAGGGGCAGAGAGAGAGAGATAGAGTGAGAATCCCAAGCAGGCTCTGCACTGTCAGTGCAGAGCCCCACATGGGGCTTGAACTCACGAACTGTGAGATCATGACCTGAGCTGAAACCAAGAGTCAGGTGCTTAACTTACTGAGCCACCCAGGTGCGCCAATATTTATTTATTTTAGAGAGAGAGCATGATTGATCGGGGAAGAGGGACAGAGGGAGAGAGAGAGGTGGGGGAAGAGAGAATCTTAAGCAGGCTCCACACTCAGCACAGAGCACGACGTGGGGACTCCATCCCATGACCCTGGGTCTGTGTCAAAATCAAAAGTTAGATGTTCAAGTGACTGAGCCACCCAGGTGCCCCCGAAAAACTATTTAAATAAGCAATGTTAAGAAATTAGCCTGGTGGAGAGAAAAGGGTTTCATGAGGTACCAAAGTGCTTGGCCCTCTGGGTCCTCCGTGAGTTGGGGACACAGCTGGGATATTCTACGGCAAGCTCTTGGTCCTTTTTCTTTACTGTAAGTGGGGAGGCATTTCTCTGGGTCTTCTCTCTGCCTGCCAGGATCCTGTGTTCTCTGGGTGTTCCAGCCCCCTGAGATTCGTACCCAGGAGGGCTCTGCTGCCCTCTTGCCCTGCTCCTTCAATGCCAGCAGAGGGAGACTGGCCATTGGCTCTGTCGCGTGGTACCGGGACAAGGTGGCCCCAGGGAAGGAAGTGAGGAATGAGACGCCAGAGTTCAGGGGCCGCCTGGCCCCTCTTGCCTCTTCCCGTTTCCTCTGTGACCACCAGGCTGAGCTGCACATCTGGGATACCCAAGACTGTGACACTGGAGTCTACGTGTGCAGGGTGGAGGTGCTGGGTCTTGGTGCTGGAACAGGGAATGGGACTCTGCTGGTGATAGAAAAAGGTGAGGTGGGAGGCCCCTCTCCCCGGAAGTTGGGAATCTTTCCCTGAGGCCTCCTGCTCTCTGTCCCTCCCTGAGCCTGTGCATGCTTCTTCCTGAGGCCCCCCCTTACCAAGCCCTTCCTTCTACCGCCTACATTCAGGACCTCCTTGGCTGGGGGCCAGCACAGTCCTCCTCCTTCGGGCGGCATTCTATGCCTTCAGCTTTATCTCTGTGGCCATGGGCAGCACCATCTATTACCAAGGCAAATGTAAGGAATGGGGCCAGGGCAATGGTGGAAGAGAGCTGGAGGAGGGGGAGACAGAGACCAGGAAGAGGAGGGCTGTGGCGATGGGCAACCCCTGTTGTCTCTCCTGCAGGCCACTGTCACCTGGGAACATGCTGCCACTCCTCAGATGGCCTCTGATGAGTGATTCGAGACCTCAGCCATCCCAACCCTCTTCAAGAGACCCCAATAAATCCTTCTCTGCCCCACCACTAACTCCTTATGAGTCTCATGTTTTTCCTTTTCCATTCTCCAGGTACCCAAAAATGTCCCTCTCTGGGGTCCCCTGACTCTTCCTAACTCTCCCTTCTGCCAAGCCTGGCCTGGAAAGGTCCAAGGAGCGACCTTCCCAGTAATTGTGTCTGGAGCCTCTCCCATCACCATCCAGGACTCAACACCTCCACCTCTCTGGGGTGCAGGGGGCTAGGTCTGATTCTCCTGAGAAATGGGGCATATGGGATCGGATTAGCCCCACCTGTTAACTCCCCATTCCAGCCAGGCTCACACATGTACTCTTTCTGGCCTTCAGGGAAGCTTGGGTTCCTAAACACCCGAGAAATGACTACTCGACCCCAGAGTGGGTGGGAAGATAACCTTGCTTAAGTTTTGATGGCAGTCATGCTGAAATGGGACTGAGTTGAGTTGAACTGAGAACCCAAGGCACAGAAGGTGGTGAGACCACGGTCTTTACTGGGTGGGCCACAGTCCTGGGTTGGGGGAAGGCGTTTGGGGGAGTTCAGGTGGATTAGTTCTTGGCAATGCAGGCATAGTCACTGCTGGGGTCCTCCTTGGAGCCTTCCCTTTGGCTGAGGCCAGGCCCCTCACGGCAAGGCACGGACAGCAGAGATGCGTAGTGGAGCTCTTGCTCTGAGAGCTGGGCCTGGGGCGGGGGTAGAAGGTGCTGCTGGGAGGTCACCGGAGGAGCCCCCTCCCCTGGGTCCTTCCTTGTGCTGCTGCCCACCCCGCTGTACCTCATTGCCTCCTCAGTGCTCCCTGCCCTCTGTCTCTGCCAGCCTAAACTCCTGCTCATTTCTTCATTGCCTTCCTCCCTGCGTCTCTGTTGTCGTCATTCCCTCTCTTTTTCCCTCCCCCTGCATCTCTCTCCTTCTCCATCTGATTTTCTCTCTCCCTCTCTGTCTCTCTCACTGCTTCCACACTCTTTCTCCTTTCTTACTACCTTTTCCTTTCTCTATACACTTTCTCTCTGCTTTTCTTCTCATCCTTATTTCTCTTTTTCTCCCCCTTTTTTTCCTCTGCGTCTCTGGCTCTCTTGTGCCCCTGTGTTCCCTCTCTTCTCTTGCTCTCCCTTCTCAGCCCTCAGCCTGCTCGTCCCCATCACCCACTCCCCTGCCCCCGGACTCACCCAGCTCCTCTCCAGCCTCCTCACTGGAAGAAAAGAAGAAACTCAGCAGGGCCCCCCCCCTTTCCCCCATCACTCTCCCAACCCCAGCGGTGTTGCCTCACTTGCTGACATCTCTGTGGTTCCCATGGCCCAAACCAAATGCCCGCCTGCCTCTCTCTTTGGACACCGTCCTCCCCTCTCTCCCACCCTCCTCTCCCAGGGTGTGTGGGAATTGACGGGGCCTTCTGGGAAAGCAGCGGGAGAGCGGGTGCGTGGGGGCAACATGGGGCATTGTGGTGGGCGAATGAGGGAGGTGAGGCTGGGGCTCACCTTTCCGATGGAGCCGACACAGACAGGCAGACAGAACGACCACAGCCAGGAGCAGGAGCCCCCCCAGCCCCAGGCTGCTGCCAAATAGGTAAAGGCATATACCTGCGGCGAGAAGGGGTAGGTATCAGGGACCCATTTCTCCCTTCAGCTTCCCCCATCCTCCTGGTTGGCCGAGGGTATCTCAGCTTCCCTATCCAACAGCGTTAGAGGCAGAAAAGCAGACTCAGATTCTTCATCCGGATCTGGTTTATCTCACCTCCTACCAGAGGTGCCCACCTCTCACCTGTTACCTCACCCACACCCATGACCACCGGCCCCTCAGAGGCTTCCCACTGCCATCTGTGCCGTCTCTGAGCCTCCCCATGAGGTCCCCTGCCCACCTGGACCGAGTGTCCTCTGACCACCTACTCATGAACGCACACACTGCTGTTTACCCACAACCCTCCCCTGTGCAGAGGGCTACCTTACCCTCTTTCCATTCCTTATAAGCTCCCATTAGGTCGAGCACTGAAGACTGGCCTGGAAGTCAGGAAACCTGGTCCCTGCTCTGCTAGCCTAAATGGCCCGGGGAGAGTCACGTGCCTCAAGTTCCTCATCTGTGAAGTGCGGGGCCCTCTGTTACAATTGTTCCAGGGCTGAGGAGCCCCACTTATGTGCCAACCCTGAACCGGGCACTTTCCATTTGTCACTGCGAATCCCCACAACGTAGGGTACTACGGTGCCTGTTTCCCTGGTGGGGAACCTCAGGCTTGAGTTCAGACTCTTACTTACAAGGAGGTCCAGCCCAGAAGTGGCAGAGCTGGGGTTCAAAGCCAGCTGTGTCAGCCCCAGCATATACCCCTATTCCTCTGCCCTCGGCTGACCGGGTAGTTCATAGGGGCCTCTCCAGCACGGGATGGTTTTAGGTTCTGGTGAGTGGCTGTTGGAGGAGGAGGAAACACGGTTTTGAGTGTATGTGTGGACCCGTGAAAAACAGGGAGGGTGGTGTCCAGGACTACCTGGCAGTTGGGGCTGCTCCCCCAGCCCCAGAGCCACTCAGGAGAGCAGGGCCCAATTCGGGTGGAGAGCCACTTCCCATGGGCAGATACTGCTAGGGCTGAAGTAGGGCATGGAGGAGTGTCTGGGCCCCATAACTTCCCCTCAGGCACTTCCTGCCCCGTAACCACTGGTTCCTGTTTGAGGACAAAGAGGGGGTAGCTGACTTCACACCAGAGCCAGCTGCACTGACCAGGGTCTAGAAACTGGGACCCTCCTGGGTTCAAGAAGAATGCTGGGGGTGTGCATGTGGTTGGATTGGGGAGGAGAAACACAGGTGGAGAGGAGAGAGCCTGAGGTAGCCACGAAGAGAAGTGGGGGCAGAAGTGGATTGTATTAAATTCTTTAGGGAGCAGAGGCAGAGGCTGGACAGCAGATGACTCCAGGGCCCCGGGAACCTCAAAGCCGTACTCTCTTCCCTCAGCTTCACCTCACTGTGGGGTGTGACTGCCTCACCTCCCCCTCCCCCCTCCCCCCCCTGCTCCCCAGGGTTCCTGCTCTCTCCCGGCTTATCCAGAGTCTGCGGTCTGCTGGTAGACAGACCAGTAGACAGACGAGAGACTAGATGTACATGAGTACTGCTGATAGTCTAGGACAGAAAGCTGAGGGCGAGTCGGTGTTGGGAAAGGAAGTGTGGACAATCTAGGTGGACTTCTTGTAGGAGGCAGCATTCTGCGGTTGAGCACAAAAATAAGGGCAGTGATCCAAAAACTTCTGGACAGAGACCTGGATGAAGGCCTCTTAGTAGTACTGAGATGGAGAGGGAGATGGGTGCTGGAGGACTGCACACCCAGTTCTTGAGGAGGGTGAAGACTGGGGACCTCATGTGGAGGCAAGAGGAAAAGGAGGATGTCTGATGCTTGGGTCCACATGCATTTGCATTTCCTTCTTCAAATTCAGAAACTTCCTGGCATTTCTTCCCCCTCCCCCCCCACACAAGGTTCCCCATGCTGGATGGTGGGCAATATTTAGGGTTGTTTTTGAAAAAAATTTTAACACATTTTATTATTATTAAAATGCTCAAACAGAACAAAATTGAGACAATTTTACAGTGAACATATCCCTACCACGTAGACTCTAAAACCGACATTTTCTATAGTGCTTTATTACATACCTATCTATCTCATTTTTTGATACCTTTCAAAGTTGCAAACATCAGTACATTTTACCTCTAAACCTTTTTAAAAGTTAACTAATTTTTAAACGTTTATTTATTTTTGAGAGAGAGTGAGCGCGCGTTGTGCAAGCAGGGGAGGGGCAGAGAGAACGTGACAGAGGATCTGAAGCAGGCTCCCTGCGTTGACAGCAGAGAGCCTGATGCAGGGCTGAACTCATGAACCGTGAGACCATGACCTGAGCCAAAGTCAGACGCTCAATCAACTGAGCCAGCCAGGCACCCCTGCCTCTAAACCTTTTTACCATGCTTATCGTTGACTTGAGTCAAGCTTTTGTTTCCCCATTTCTTTTTTGGGGGGCTGAGGAAGGCAAGATTTACATACACTAAAATGCACAAATCTGAGGTCAGCACTCAGCTTTTAAACTGTCTTGTGGTCAGGGCTCTGGAGGCAGACAGCCTGGGTTCAAATCCTGACTCTGCCACTACTGTGTGGCCTTCTAGAAGTTCCTTAACCTCTCTGTGGCTCAGTTTCTTAAGGTTTGTGTCAGGATTAAAAGAATTTCTATGCATAAAGTGTGTAGGTCAGTGGCAACCATATGCTAACTGCTACTTGTATAATAGCATTATTATTATTATTATTATTATTATTACTTGATGACAGAGATGGGGTGATGATCTAGGACCACCTCCAACTTCCTTGGACCTGGTCCTTCCTCCCTGTAACTCCCACTGCACTGTCTACCATTACTAGTTGTTGGATCCTTGCTGCTTTGTTTTGCTCATTCATTCATTCGTCCTTTCTTCATTTATTCATAAACATTTAGTCTCACCTACTGAATGGATGGGGCTCATGCTAGACAGCAAGGCTCTTTGAGGTGGGGCTATGCCTCACCGCTCTCCTGTCTACACTCTGTGTAGCAAGGGAGGTGATGCTCATTTCCATCCCTCCTCAGCGAGATGATAGTCAGTGGTGAGGCTGAGGCCCCTTTCAGCTGCTATTTCTGTGGACGGGCTGAACTCTGCTGCTCACCAGGCTCTCGGGGTTAGGGATGAGCAAGGGAATGGAAGGAGGAGGGAGGAGGTTGGTCCAGTGTGGGCATAAGTTCTTCTCAGGAATGCAGCCATCCATCCCTCAAGTTCTCAAGGACATGGACACAGTCCTTCCTCCAGCACCCACCACCGGGGTGTAGAAGAATGCAGACTGTCCTGGAAATCTGGACTTCTGTGTTCTCATTGCAGCTTTGTTGCCTGACTTTCTGTAAGCTGCCTTCCCTCCCTGGGCCTCAGTTTCCCTCCCTGCTGAACCAGATGATCTCTAAGGCCCCCCTCCAGCTCTAACCTGCAAGCCTGTCTCTTCACCCCAACTCCTTCCCCAGTTCAGAGAACCCGGGCATCCAGCTGCCCCACCCCAGCTCTGGGTAAACAGGAAGCTGGGTGAGGGGAGCAGGGGTGTGCGGAAAGTCCCAGCCAGGTGTGTGGGTCTATGGGGAGGGGGTGGCCCCACCCCTAAGGTATGAAAGCCCCCCTGCCCTGGCCCTGGCTCAGTCTCCATGGGGACACTGGGGCTAGAGGGCCGGGGTAGGAGGCCCCAGGGGAAGGGCTGCCTCCTGCTGGCTGTGGCAGGAGCCACCTCCCTGGTGACCCTGCTGCTGGCTGTGCCTATCACTGTCCTGGCTGTGCTGGCCTTGGTGCCCCAAGAGCAGGGAGGACAGGTGAGTAGCTGCAACCAGCCCTAGGAGGGCTGTATGTGGCTGAGACTCACTTATCTCTGGCTATGCCTGGGGGGCCTCTTGCCCCATCCTGCTCAGTTAGCCTGGCTGTCCTCGGTGGGGATGCCTTGTCTGTCTCTTTGCTGGCCCTCTTTCCAAGATCCTGTGATGCTGTTGTGTTCTGATATCTCCAAGCTCCTTCCTTGCTGTCTGTCTGGCTGTTCTCCTCTTCCCAAGACATACTCAGGCCTCTGTCTCTGCCCAAGTACACATGTTCTGCTTGTTCTCCCTTCCAGGGATATAGATGTATGTTGGGGATGGGACTGGTAGGAAAAACCCTAGGCCTGGAGCTTGGGTTTATGTTGGGAGGGGTGGGGTTGGCATCAGCTAAAACTGAACTCTGGGCACTGTGACCCCACCCACCCAGGCAACAGGGACGGCTGACCCGGGGGCACAGGCCCAGGCCCAGCAGCGATTGGGTAAGAGCAGACCATCACCCCCTCCCCTGCTCCAGCCCTTCAGGGATGCCCAGCTCCCATTCATCTGCATCCCCAAAAGAGCTTTTCCTCCCGGAATCCAGGTGCCCCATCCTTGGGCCCTGGCGCCCGGTCCTCTCAGGGGGACCATGCATGGATGGCCACCCTGGCCCCCAATCGTGGACTCTTCGCCCCTTCCAGGGACACAGGTGCTGCCAGAGGAAGAGGCAGGAACAGATTTCAGCTCCAGGCTCCCAGCTGCCCACCTCATAGGTAAGGATCTCATAGATAGTCAAGGGTGCAGTTCTGCCCACCCGAATCCCTTTGCTCCGTTATTGCGGGGCTGTGTTTCCGACCTGCTTCACCACCGCTTGTCCCTAACCCTTCTCCCCTATTCGCTTCTTGCTTCCCTCCTGGAGCAGGCAAAACCTGGCCTGGATCTCCCCACAACAGCGCCCCGTACCCCACCCACACTCTGGTGCTATTAGTCCCCTTAGTCATAATCATTGCAGGGGTGGCACCACGGCCTTCGCCCCCCACCACCCCCCACTCCCGGCTCGGGCGGGGGGTGGGAGGTTGAAAGTCCCTGCAGGGGGTTGAAAGTCCCCATTCTCCTTCATGCTCACCCTCCCAGAAGTCCCGGGCCTAGATCATTCCTCTGGGATGGGGTTCCCGAGAGCCGACAGGCCCGTTTCTCCGCAGGTGCTTGGACGAAGGGGCAGGGGCTAGGCTGGGAGGCCAAGAAAGAAGAGGCGTTTTTGAGGAGCGGGACGCAGTTCTCCGGCGCCGAGGGACTGGCGCTCCCACAGGACGGCCTCTATTACCTCTACTGTCACGTCGGCTACCGGGGTCGGGCGCCCCCTGCCGGCGGGGGCCTCCTTGACCACTCGGTCACGCTGCGCAGCCGGCTGTACCGGACGGGGGGCGCGTATGGACCGGGGACTCCCGAGCTGCTGCTGGAGGGCGCAGAGACCGTGACCCCGGTCTTGGACCCGTCCCGGACGCACGAGTACGGGCCTCTCTGGTACACGAGTGTGGGCTTCGGGGGCCTGGTACAGCTCCGGAGGGGCGAGAGGGTGTACGTCAATATCAGTCACCCCGATATGGTGGACTACAGGAGAGGGAAGACCTTCTTTGGGGCTGTGATGGTGGGGTGAGGGCCGCTTGCGGCCCCGGGGAAAGCGACTGCATGGCTGGAATGTGTGACCCAGCCCAGATATTGGGGACCCGGCCTCCAGGGACCCCGTGGCAGTGGGAAAAATGTAGGAGACTGTTTGAAAACTGATTTCGAGCCTGAAGAAAATAAAGAATGTAAACCTTTAGTGTTGCCAAATACAGATGCTGAGATGCTAGTATGTCTTAATTCAGGGTTGGTAAAGAAGTGTTGGTAAAATATTCTTTTTCTGGTTGCTTGAAACAATCAAATCAATTCCTATGGCCTCTACTGTCTGAGAAGGCCATCTGTGGCGTTCCCACCCACCTCCTGCCTCCGAATGCACTTGTCCCAACCTTAGCCCATTTGGAAGGTGGAAGAAGGGGATCTCAAACCGCAAAGCATCTCCAACCATCCTTATTCTCAGAGCCACATAGTCCTCAGCAGACTCCACACTGCATTTTCTCTTGGGTCCCTTCTATCAGTGACAGGGGTCATTACAGGGGAAGGCAAGCAATGCTCTGGAAGACGGAGCACAGAGTGAGGAATGATCCCTGAGGGCCTAGCACTTCTCCCCTGCTGCCTGCCTGGTTGCCCGAAGGCCCCTTTAGCCACTACCTTCAAGGAAAAACACAGCTCTGGGGGGTGAAGGGAGGAGACTGAAAGAGAGAGCTGGGGCGGGGAGGGTACCTGAGGACGCCAGGGAGAACTTGAGGAGGAAACTCTGTTGGCCACCTGGCCCTGTCCAGGGTGAGATGGAAAGTCCTCACCCCTTGTTCGCACTTCAGCTGTGCTTTCCATGCACTGGCAAGTATTGGGGCCCCGGGGTGAGTAACAACAGCCCCATCACCCCATGACACACTTTCAGCTCCAGGCTGGAGGAGGCAGAGAGGGACCCAAGGCCCTATCTAGGTCACCCCAGTGGGTTATCCCACTGCGGCAGACCACACGGTTTCCCCCTGCCTGGCAGCCCTGGCAGGAAGAAAGGGCCAACTTCTGAACCCAGTGGGGACTCCCACTCCCTGGATCTTCATTTCTGACTCCATATTTGTCTTTGACTCTGTGTCCAGAAGAGTCTTCCTGGGGACAGAGAATGCTTTTTTTCTCTTTTCAGCTCACTCATCTCATGTCCCTCCCCTCATCATTCACCAAGAAAATCTGTGAGAGTTTGCACGTGAGTCCTTCACATGCACCTTATTCCTCTTTTTAAATTTTCCTTCGTCTCTTCTTTTTTTTTTTTAATTTTTTAAAATGTTTTTATTTATTTTTGAGACAGAGAGAGACCAAGCATGAGCAGGGGAGGGGCAGAGAGAGGGGAAGACACAGAATCTGAAGCGGGCTCCAGGCTCTGAGTTGCCAGCACAGAGCCCGATGCGGGGCTGGAACTCACAAACCACGAGATCATGACCTGAGCTGAAGTCGGACGCTCAACCGACTGAGCCACCCAGGCGCCCCTCCTTCGTCTCTTCAAGTCCACCCACTGAGAGACCGAAGCAGAGAGAACAGCTGGGGGCTGTATGAAGGAAGAAAGTCAGAATTCACTGAGCACTTATTATGCCATATGCTACGCTAGGTGCTCTCACGTAGCTTAGGTCCTCTATTCTCTTGTGGCCCCACATGCAGAATCATCATTGGGTAGATGAGGCTTAGCAACTGGGTCAGGTTGCACAGTTAGGGCTGCTGGGGGAGCCCGGGATCAGGCAGATTTGGAGCCCTGATGCCTGAAGGTCTGAAAGTCCTTTGGCCGTGATTCAGGTGCCTGAGAATGTGGCCCTTCCCAGGCTCTCTTGCTGGCTGCAACAGCCGGAAATCTCACCTGAACACTTAAGGAGTAGGACTTCCCCGGTGGAATTGCCAGAGTTGGAAATTCCCATGCCCTGAGGGAGAGGTAATTAGGTTCAGGCTCCAGTTTCCTGGAGGAGGGGCATTTGTGGCTTGGCTTTGTTCTAAGTAGGGTCTCCTGAGTCCCAGTAGTCTAAGGAGTGGGGACTGGGTTCAGGGATCTTTTTTTTTTTTTTTTTTTTAACTTTTATTCACATTTATTTTATGGGTTCAGGGATCTTAAGCCATGTAGAGAGAGAGAGAGAGAGAGAGAGGGGACTTCAGGGAGTGGCTCCCCACCCCCAAGGAGAAGCAGCTGCAGAATTAATGTCAACAAAGAGACCATGTGTCTTTTCTAGGTACATTTTATTTCTCGCCACTGAACAGTAGGGCGGTTACAGACATAACTCCCCTGGGGAGCAGAGGTTCAGCGATGTAGCGACAGTCAGTCACCAAATCAGCATTAATTAGACAACTCGATCAGATAAATATTTTTAAAAATATATAAGCAAAAGGAGGCACAGAGGCCAGGAGGCCAGGAGGGAAGAGCCTAGAGTTCAGCTCCGTTTTCACAGAAAACATGTCCGAGTCAAGGCAGCCCCTTCATTTGGTCTCCCAGGACACCCCAACCTCCCAAATAAATATATTCATCAGTAAATAAATAAATAATAAATAAATAATAAATAATCACTAGTGCAAATATAAATAGAGGGAGCTGGCCCCATGAGGGAGGGGCTGGGCTTTCCATCTCAGGGAAGAGTCTGGAAACATCTGAAGAAAGGGGGGCCTGAAGTCCACTCATGTCAAGTTGTAGGTGAGATCTTCTTAAGGGATGTGCTGAAGTGTCTGGCCAGAAAGGTTCCCTGACCCCCGAATTCCAGGTGTCCCAGGTTGCATTGAGGGATCCAAACCTGAGATCTCCAGTGAATGCTGGAAGCCCCAGTTTGAATTCTTGCTGGTGGCCAATGCTCCAAAGTCCAGGTCCCTGGATCTTAGGTTTCTAAGTGTTGTTATTTAAAGTTCTAAGCTTGGGGCCCAGCCCTGAGCCCCTAATTCTCTTTCTAAGCCAGAAGGGGATGAGGGGGTCAGAAGGAGCAGATAACAAAGGAGTTGAGGTGGGCAAGGATGGATGTCTGGCCCCCTCACAGGGCAATGATTCCAAAGTAGACTTGCCCAGACTCGGCAAAGTCAAGATAGTCAGGCAGATTGATCTCAGCGCTGAGTCGATCACCCTTCTCCAGTTGGAAGACCCCTCCCAGGTAGATGGGCTCATACCAGGGCTTGGCCTCAGCCCCCTCTGGGGTCTCCCTCTGGCAAGGGCTCTTGATGGCAGAGAGGAGGTTGACCTTGGTCTGGTAGGAAACGGCAAAGCGGCTGATGGTGTGGGTGAGGAGCACATGTGTGGAAGGACATCCTTGGCCCGTGAAGAGGACCTGGGAGTAGATGAGGTACAGCCCGTCTGAGGGCACCTTCAGCTGGTTGTCTGTCAGCTCCACGCCATTGGCCAGGAGGGCATTGGCACGCCGGCTCAGCCACTGGAGTTGCCCTTCAGCTTCGGGGTTTGCTGGAGGGAAGGAGAGAAGGAGGGAGGGGTAAATCAGTGTGACCCTGTCAGTTCCACTCTCCACATCCTGGCCCTCAAGTTCTGCCCCCCCCCCCACATCCGGTTCCTGTCCCCTCTGTCTGTCCTCCCATGTCTCATGTGGCCATGAGGTTCTGAGTGTCCCCCTCAAGGCCTGTGCTCTTCCTTCACTCTCTCCTTGAGCTCAGTGAGTCCTTCTCATATCATCTCCAAGGCCTGGGCTCAGCCTTCAGCCCCCTGGGCACAGCCCCCAAATCCTAGCCCTCTATGTCCCACCTGCTTCGCCATCCTCCAGCTACAGCCTCAGAAGTCTTACCTACTACATGGGCTACTGGCTTGTCACTCGGAGTTCGAGAAGATGATCCTGAGGAGGAAAGAGGAAAGAAAAAGGTGAGACCCCTACGCTTCCTGGAAAATATCCCACTTTGACTTCCATTCCTCCTCCCCTCAAACCCAAACTCTGAATTTCCCCCTCTGCTGCTATCCCAGGACTAACCCCCACCCTCACCCAAGCCCAGAACCAGGAGAGAAGCTTTGGAGACACTTACTGAGTGTCTGGGGCAGAGGGTTGATTAGTTGCAGGCCATGTGGGAGCTGTTGGGGAGAAGGAGGTTGTTTAGCATCAGAACAAGTTACCCCTAACTGAGAAACAGCTAGGTTGTTTATGCAGCTCATACTATGGTTCTCTCTCTCCGTTCATCGATTGATTCATCCATTCATTCATTCAACAGCACTTTCACTGTCTTCCACGTGACAGACATCTGTCTGTCTTTCCTTATCTCTTTCTTCACCTCTTTCCTTATCTCTCTCATATCGCCCACATCATTGTGTCTCGCATCTTTATTCCCATCTCTCAACCCACACCCCACATCTCTCCACACATCTCTCTCTCTCTCTCTCTGTCTCTCTGTCTGTCTGTCTGTTTATGTGTGTGCTCATTCATTCATTCAAGAAGTGCTTAGAGAGCACCTTTGGTGTGCTCCGTCCCTTCTCTCTTCATCGCTCTCCACATCTCTTTCTGCCTCCCCGTCTTTCTCCACGTTTTCTCTCTCACCCATCCCCATCAGCACACCTCCTTCCCCCACCCCATTTCTTGCCCTCCTGCTCTCCCATTTCTCTCTGGGTAGCAGAATGAGCCAAGTCTGGTGTGGCACTCACCTCTTCCCTCTGGGGGCCGATCACTCCAAAGTGCAGCAGGCAGAAGAGTGTGGTGGCTCCTGCGACGAGGAGGAAGGAGAAGAGGCTGAGGCACAAGCACCTTCTGGAGCCCTGGGGGCCCCCTGCCTTCTTGGGGAGTGCCTCCTCGGCCAGCTCCACGTCCCGGATCATGCTTTCAGTGCTCATGGCGTTCTTCCCAGGGGGCTCAAGTCCAGCTGGGTGATGGTAGAGCCCTAAGGCAGCGTGTGTGAGAGGGAGAGAATCGCCTGGCTGCTTTCTGGGGGTGTGTCGTCTGAGATGTTATTTCCGGGGGGGTCTGGAGTTGCTTCTGTCTCTCTCCTGGCTGGTCCCCTGGTGTCTTCGCTGAGGAAGCTTCTGCTGACTGGGTGTGCAGACAGCTGCATTTATATACCCACAGGGCAAGAGGAGGGCGGGGAAAGCTCTCATTCAACCAGCGGAAAACTTCCTTGGTGGAGAAACCCATGAGCTCATCTGGAGGAAGCGGTAGTGGGCCCTACACCTTCTGTCTCGGTTTCTTCTCCATCGCGGGGGTGGGGGTTTGGAAAGTTGGGGACACCCAGGCATCAAGGATACTTCCTATCCGCCCCACTCGGATTCTGAGGGAGGCTTGGTGCATACGTAGGACCCTGGAGGCTGGACCCCAGTTTCCCACTGCCCCCAATTCCCTCCATTTTTTTTTTT